AGTGCTCAACATGATGCAGGGACTACCCGGATGCGTTGCATCAACTGGTCAGCGCACAATGCATCCGATGAGACTTTGTGTTCCGAGCAGCTTCCTGCGATTCGAGGGGGGAGGTGCGTAGCGTCGTGCAACCATGGGCCACGATGCTAGCTCTGGGCTCCTGGCCCACGTTCTCCGCCGCACCTCGGACCTAAATGTGGAGTTCTCGTGAAGCGGCTGATGGGCCATTCATAAAACATTCTGGTCCTTTTTTGGGGGATCTCTGTTGTCAATCTAGTGCCGATAGTCCTTGCAGTTTAAGGTAGCCATCGGTATCCCCTCTGACCCTTAAGAAGGCGGCTGGCAGAGGACCCGCGAGCCTGGGAGGGCAACACTTGTTTCTCGGCCGAGGTCTCCAAAGCTGGTTTTCGGGCGAGTTACACTGGGGCTCTCGATAGTTTAGGATTTGGGGCTTAGGGTTTGGGGGCAGGTTTTGGGGGTGTTCTTTGCTTTTGGGTTTGGGTCCTGGCCTGGGTGCCAATGTCTCAGGAAGCGCAAGGAAGCCAGGACCGGGCACCTGAAGAGACGCTGCATGCGGAGACTTTGCAGCCTTGCACACTCAATCCACTGAACCCTGAGCCTTACACTAAGCAGAGGACCACAGGTCAACTTTGCCCGAGGTGGCAAGAGAGATGTAAGCCTTCTGGGCGTCACTTTGCCCGTGTGGGTGCCATGCTCGATGGGCAATGAAGTGCCCTTGGCTGGCTGTGCCCAGGTGCGACACCACCGAGTCCAAGGCATAGCTGCGGAGAACTTTGTCCAGCACCAAAACAGCCGGACAGCGCACGGGGTTGGGCAGTCGCATCAAGCCCCAGGGCCCATGTATCAGGCGCCGCAAATGGAGGGTCAGAATGGCCGGAGCTCTGTGAAGCCTGAATGACCGGAAATGAGTCCTGCGGCACAGCACGGGCTCCGGAGAACCCGCAGGACAAAGCAGGCCTAGATGCTCTGCTTCCAGGATTGTCTCTCCAAAGGCTGTCAAGCGCCGGTATGCCTGCCTTGCCTGAAAGGAGCCTCGAAGGCCCTCAAGCAAACATCTCTGCTGCGTGGCTCGTGCGGAGCAGCGGCTGCACACCAAGCCTTCAATCTCCTCGACCCCCTTGCCCCCGTAGGAAGAGTGCAGCAGACTGAGCAAATCGATAGGCGCCAACGTCACCTGGCCTTGGAGCATGTCAAGGGAAAGGCAGCGGAAGGCCTGCCTGGAAGGGCAGGCGTCCACCTTCACAAGTCCGCACGCGCTGCAGACGCGCCTCTCCTCCAAGGTGCCCTGCCACAGCTCCTGGAACCAGCGGCAGGCGAGCACGGCGCGAGCCCAGGCGCCCGTCGGAACCAGCCAAGGCCGGAGCTCCCAGCTGGGTCGTTGAGGCCTCGGAAGGTCCTGGCTGGCATGGAGCTGCCGCCTCAGCAGCCCAGCATGTAGCGCCTCTAAGAGCTGGATCAAGGCCTCGTGGGCGTCCTGTTGCTCGCCATAGGCGGAGCTGAGGCCGCACTCCCGGTCAATGGCCGCAGCAAGATTGTAGACGATCTCGTTCGCGTAGTCCGACTCAAGAGACGTCGCATGATTTATGTACAGGAGCACGGAGGCCAAGCAAGCCGACAGATCTTTGGGCGCTTCGCCTCCCTGACAAGAGCTGTTGCAAGAGGGATCGGGCTCCAAGACGGATCGCAAGATTCCCCACCACCTGGGATCATTGATGCTTGCCAGTGCTTGCAACACCGCGTTGAACCAGCACCACTGCCCAGGATTTGCCAGAGCTCTGGGCAGTGATGGGGTATCGGGGCCATTCCACATGGACGAGAATGACCATGTGAGCTAAATTGCACCTGTATGAGTTGCACCATGCAGAGATCGACGGTGGCTTGAGATGACCGACAAATCATACACCCTAAAGTCAAGCAAAGTCCAAGTCTAACGGAGTCTTATGATTCTAGAATGGTCTATCGTCTCAAGATGTTGATCATCTGATGAGCAGATGGGCGGATGTCAGCCTGTCCTAATTTTCACAGCGTGCTTGTCACAAATCAGACGCGCCCCTTGGAACCTGGACATGTGCGTCGGCTTTTTTCTTCGTCCGACGCGGCTTCAGAACCTGAGGGGCTCCAAGAGTCCTTGGGCCTCAGCGTCAGGTGATCGTAGAAAAGGGGCTAAAGTGGTTCGGCATGGACATCTAAGCTTGCAACGGGAACTCAAGGACCCCATCATCCGATGAACACTTCACATCCACTTGATCTGCCGAGTCTTGCACCTCCGATCATTTTCGGCAAATGACGGCAGCTCCCCGAATGCAACAAACATGAAGGTGGGGCTCGTACCTGCGGATCTTCAGATGGAGCCTCATCCGGCCTGAGCAAATCTGCAAGCAATAAGCTTATACTGTGACGGAACACATATCACAGAAGGAAACGTTACTGGTGTCGGACAAGAGCGTCTCTGCCGGCATTGGAGCCAAGTCTTGCAGGCCTGGCCGAGTCGTGTGCCCTTCCCCTCACCTGCGCAGCCCTGCAAGACACTTGTGCGCCCATTTTGCAACTGCCGTCGAGCTGGGGTCGGCATGTTCGTGAAGCGAGCGAGAGCGAGAGCCAGAGAGAGAGAGAGAGAGCGCGAGAGCGAGAGAGAGAGAGAGAGAGCGAGAGCGAGAGAGAGCGAGAGAGAGAGAGAGAGCGAGAGAGCGAGCGAGATTTGTGTGTTCAGCTCACGGGATAACCCGAGCGAGTAGGAATCTCGGCAGGCAGCTCGTGTGATGATTGCGAGGTTCTGAACGATTGCAGCTGCATTTGCCAGTGCACCACAAACCAGAGAGCACCGGAAGCCACAGCGAGAACTGCGACGGTCAAGAAGGGTGCCTGAGCTGCGTTCCGAAAGGAATCAGCTTCGGTTGGGGCTCCGTATGTCTCTCCCCGTAGCTTGCAATGTCTCGAAAAAGAAAACCCACTTCCGTTGCCAGCTCCAGGCCCATGGCTGACCCAACTTGCTTCTCCAGTTTGTTTGGATTTCCTAGTTGCGGCCAGATATGGGGGTTTACGTAAATGGGGGGGGTACTTCGAAGGGCTTAAGCGCCGCCCCCCCATTGTAGGGGGGGCGGCCTGGGTCTTGAGTCTACAAGTCACCTTTTAGCGTGGAGGCTGGGAGCGATTTAATCAAAATTAGAATCATATAGGAGGAGGTTAGGGCTTCGATTGGGTACAGGGGCCGGGTATTTCTTTGGGGGTAGCTTGTATTGTAAACATATTTCCCTCAGCCCTAGACCCTAAGACCCTAAGCCCGAAACCCCAAACCCGAAACCCTAAGCCCTGCGCCCGAAGCCCTAAACCCTACCCCAAACCCTAAACCCGTGACAAGGAAACGATTTGAGTTTTGCCCACGGAGCGGCTCCGAGATCCTGTTCTCCGAAAGGCCCCAAGGGGTTTAGGGTTTAGGGTTTAGGGTTTAGGGTTTCGGGTTTAGGGTTTAGGGTTTAGGGTTTAGGGTTTGGGGCTTGGGATACCTAAACCTTCTTGGGGGTCCCTTTAGGGGGGTTCTTTTCTGTTTGGGGTCTGAAAAGGGTACCCCTGTTTTGGGAATTACCCATACGGCTTCCTGCTTCTTACACTGTTGAGCAAATATGGGAGTACCTTTGAGAGCACCTTTGGCTAGGTGGACCAGCGAGGCGGACAAGCGAATGTCGTTGGCGAATGCATGCGACTCATGCTGATGCACTTTCTGCTTGCATCTCTTTGCTGGCACGTAGCTGAATGCGAAACCTTCTCGTACATCGTGGCAAAAGGCAACGTGTCCAGTACCCGCGCTGCAGCTTGAAAAGTGGAGAGGGTGCCCAAAGCGATACCTCAGTCAAAGACGAGGAAGGCTGCTCTTCTCTCTGCCTCAATATCCTTCCTGCTGGGAGCTGTGTGACGAAAATTTCACGTTGCATGCACGATCACTCACTGCCATCGGGGCTCCGTAGGCGGATTTGCCGACAACCTGACAGCAGCTCGATTCTACTCCGACAGGGTTTAGGGTTTAGGGTTTAGGGTTTGGGATGTAGGGTCTAGGGGTTAGTGTCTAGGGTCTAGGGTCTGGGGTCTAGGGTCTAGGATTTAGGGTTTAGGGTGTGGACAGCAGTCCAATCAGCTTTGCAAGGGACCTCGGTCAGCAGAGCAGAGAGGTTCGGAGCAGCTAGGGCGTCTCCCATGACGACCGTCAGTTGCGAAGCAAGGAACCACCACCTCGCAAGAAATTTGTTTGGAGTCAAATTTGATAGCTCAAGAATTGTTCAAGGGATTCCGAACCTCGGAACTGCGAGCCCAGGCACTTGGTGGGAGCTAATCCCAGGCCAGAGTACCCAACAATGCGCAGGCACACGCCTCAGCCACTGGGGCGTAAGCGCCCCGATGCGCAAGCGTTGCATGACAGCAGCCGTGATGTTGACTCTTGGGGCCAGGCCTAACAACATCGTCCCCTGTTGCCTCAATGTGTGCCTCAACTGCTGCGTTCAACAGCCCGTCAACCGGGATCACATCATGTGGTCATGCAGGACTATATCTTACTAAGCGGTTGGCATCAGGATCGGAAAGACAAAGTTGGTGACAACAATGACGAGCACGCCAGAGATCATCATGTTCCATGCGAAGAATCGGGTGCTTTCCGCCGCTGCCGAGGACGAGCCCTTGAAGTAGGAGTCCATGACAAACCTTGCAGCTTTTAGGGTTTAGGGTTTAGGGTTTAGGGTTTTAGAGTTGAGGGTTTAGGGTCCTCCATGTGCAGCTGCGCGGCAGGGCTCCGCAAGATTCAGCGGCGGCAATCCCGGCATTTCCCAGGAAGGCGCCAAAGAACAGCGGCCAGGCCAGTCTGCACCGGATTTGCGGGTGGGGTTGGGATGTTCCCCTTATAGTAACAGTCATTAATGCGGACTATAGTACCCCCTATTATAATCACTATTAAGGACCCTTCGGATAAGGGGGAACATCCCAAGGTTAGGCCTACGGGATTACAACCCCTTAAGCTCCAAAGCCCTTTAGGAGATGAGTGACGAGCAATTGTGTTTCCCTCAAGACTCAATGTAGATTTTCTGAGGTCAGTCTAATGAAAGTCACCGAATGAAACCATATAACGAGCCGAAAAAGAACCACGATAGTGTTTTCGGGGTATTCAGACCCATTGACTACAGCCAGATCACGAGCTGTTTGGCAGATGTAAAGCACGACAAGTAGAAGAGCGATTGCGTTGAACTGAAGACCTGCTCGTGCTTGCCCCTACAGTAGCTGCCCGGTTGGCAGTTTTCGGAAATGGCTTAGGGAATTTTTTGGGGTTGAAGCGGGCTTAGCCAGATTTGAGGATCCTCCCACAGGGTCAATTCAAGGAACTAAAGGAGGGACCCTTATAACGGACCTTCGAGGGTAAAAAACGTGTTATTTAGGGGCCAGTTAGGTCGATAGGGACTATATATGTTATATGAGGTTATATAGGGGCTAGACAGGGAAAAAGATTAAGTACCCCTTTTAGGGGTCCCTCCATATACCCCTTAGTCAACGGATAACTAGCAAGCCAGAAATGCCATTGACTCAGCTGTTCTTGGAACCCCTTTGAACATGAAGAACAAGATCATCCTTGTGGTTCCTCATGGTCACTTCTGCATACATATAGGTAAAACATGCCAAAGCCCCGAAAGCCAACACAAACGGGTCTGGATCAGGGTTTAGGGACCCTAAACCCTAAACCCTAAACCCCAAACCCCAAACCCTAAACCCTATGCTTCACCAGAGCCTGGGCAGCGACTCGAGCCTGAGAAGGGCGTGTTCGTGAGTTTTTTTTACCAAGACCTCAAGGTGGTTTGGGCCTAGGCGGTTTAGGGAGGGGGGGGTTCAGGCCTATAGGGCCTTAGGGTTCGCTGAGGGGTTTAGGGTTTAGGGTTTAGGGTTTAGGGTTTAGGGTTTGGGGTTTAGGGTTTAGGGTTTAGGGTTTAGGGTTTAGGGTTTAGGGTTTAGGGTTTAGGGTTTAGGGGTTAAGAGGTTTAGGGGTTAAGAGGTTTTTTTCTCGAAAAAGGTAAGGGAATCCGAAGCCGGAGGCCAATTCTCGACCCAGGGCACGCGGATCGGCTCTCCTCTTTCGGCTGCCTCCTCATCAACACATTCCTGAGGCGTCATCCCCGAACATTTTGAAGCCCCTGAGACCCTCAGATGGTACATGAAATACATGTAGAACATTTAGTACATGTAGTACATTTAGTACATTTAATACATTCAGTACATTTAGTACATGTAGAACACTTAGCACATATTCCCCCTTGATTTAGGACTTCGATTCCGGTCGCAAACTCACCGAAAAAGGCCCCAGGCTCTCAGACTCGGCAAGGCAGCTGAACACAAACGTCCAGTTCACGAGGCCTGTGGCGGAGGGCTTAGGGGTTTTGGGGTTTGGGGATTTTGGGTTTGGGGTTTTAGGGCTTGGGGATTTGAGAGTTTGGGGATTTTAGGGTTTCTAGGGTTTGAGTCGGTTGTTTCTATGAAGGACGCCGGCTCGTCCCTCCAATCTGCTGCCGCGGCACTCAGAACGGCACAAAGCCGCACAGCTGCCGAGAAGCCCTCGTGGCTCAGGCCCTGCCACCAGAAGGACCATCAGGCAAAAACGATGCCGCATTCGATGGGCCGAGGCGTGGACCGCACCGACAACAGGACCCAGCATCAGGCCCATGGCGATGCTACCTGAAGGAAGGAGGAGCAGGTGAGGCCAAGCCGAAGTCTAACCAAGGTCGGGCCCTCCACTACTTGCACACCTTCACAACCGGCATCAACAGCCGCTACGTCAAGAAAAACACCGCAAGCAGTGCTGGGCGAATTGGTGCAAACCAGAAGAAAAAGGCGAAGAGCCCGAGCTGTAGGCCAATCGGACGGGACGATCCTGCGAGGATCGGACATGTGACGCTCTCTGCAGAAAAACTACTGATCACGTGAGGAAGCTCCGGCTATTGGTACATGTCGAACATGCTTGTTTTCAGCATGAGGCTGCACGTATTGGTATCGCGAGTTTGCATCTGAAAAAAACCCTGTGCTGGGTTCACTCTGCTCTGCAGAGCCCCGCAAACCTACCAGTGAATCATCGTTCGTCTCCAGATCTTATAGATGTACATCACTGCATAGCATGCATGAACTGCCTCAACCACCAGTGCAGCTACATCCTCGGTCTCCCCGTTTCTAATATCAACGACCTCTCCAGCAGCATGTTCGATGAAGATGCATGCACAGATGGCAGCCGCACAGATGCAGACGAAGTCGTAGAATCTGCTCACCAGCCGGAACTGCTTGCTTCCCTCGTCCTATACTCCCCTTAGAACCTAAATAACAGTGATATGTTTAATATCCTCTTGGGTTTTATATAAACAAAAATCTAACAAAGCAATTCCCAAGGGGGATGTAGCGTCTGCCAGAGCCTCATTGAACAGCAACTTGGCTGGCCAAAACCGGTCAGTTATCTGGCTTTTGAGA